TTTAAATGATGCTTGCTATATAGGTGCTATGGCATATTCTATATATCACAAACAATGTACAAACAAATTTTTCTTTAAATGTTTAGTTGCTTTTAGCAAGTTCAATTCTGTGGATTCCACATTGTGCATCTCTAAACAAAATGGCTTCCTATTTATTTGGCTGGTCTTAAATTTTTATTCAATTTTAAATACTCTGTAATTCCTTTATCTATATCACATTTCCAATAACGTCATCCCACAGGAGTTCTTTCTAAGCTTCCTTCCTTCCTTGTAAAATATTTGTTGTAAAAAGGCCCTCATAGTTTCTAGCATTTGTCCAGTGATCAAGCACATGTTTTCTGTAAATAATGTTATGTAGTTTTACCCAATTAAGGAGATTTGGAACGCCATTATACAGGCTTTTACTAACAGCAATTTTTGATTATCTAAAACATGTATATCAGTAAGGAATTATGACTGAGGGGAAATTTGAAGATTAATCTCCCTGATGTGACATTTATATCACCAAAATTCAGCTGTGAGATGATTCTCTTATCAGGGAAACAAGACTCTTGTTCCTCATAAGTTGTGAGTTAATAACAGTTCCGTAATCTCAATTTCATTTGTCAACTTTGGGCTGATTTTTTCTCTATCTACTGAAAGCAGTAAATATACTACAATTTTTTTTTTCTCTGTATTTATTGTCATGAATCTAAATTTCATCGCAAACCAGTTTTACAGGCATGTTTGCATTTTATCTATTCACTACGTTCAATTACCCACCATAGACTCCGGTCAGTCAAAATGACTATTTTGAACCGTAGGCATTAATCAGCGATTCTGCCGGTGACGGAGAGATAGAATCTAGGTCAGGGGAAGCCCCATGGCCTCAAGATTCTTTTACCCCTTACGTCACGAACCCACATGACCGAGGCCATATGGCAGCACCATAGGTAGCCGTCAATCACTCTTCATTTTTCTCTGCCTCGTCCGGGAATGATTCTGAGCGGCTCTGCCTGGCTCTGTTGCTTTTTGCTGTCCAGGTTTCTAGCATGGGTCGTCGCCGCAGCTGCCGCATCCGACATTCTAGCTGGTAGCATAAGTTTTTCTTGCATTTTTACTCTTGTGTCGTTTTCCCTTTTGTGTGTTATGCTTTTCCACAACAATGTTTTCTTTCCAGTTTCCTCGTGTTTCGAGTCGACCATGCAGTGGTTATATTCAGAATTTACCAGCATAGAATCTGCATCCGAGATACTTTGTCATAGCTGCATGCAGGGTTCGGGGTTTTTTTGGTGTGTGGTTTTCCACTGGAGTTCTGAGGCCTGAGATTTTCTTTTAGAGCCATCAAAATCGCTGAGACTGACCGCGTCACAGCAAGGTCGCGCGTTCAGTGAACATATCGGTTAAAGTGAGTTGCGTGTTTTGCATGAGTGGAAAGTCCTCACGCTCGGCTACCGGTACTTCTTATACCGGGACGTCAAGTAAGAGGCCCGACGGTACGGTGGAGGTACCAATATTTTTCTCGGCTTTCCACGCTGATCGGAGGGCATCCGCACAGTCTGTTTTTTTAGACGATGGCTTACCCGATTTTACCGGCTGCAGCGAGGCTGTGCCCCTGGAGGCTTTCCTCCTATGGGGCTTGTTGCGGGTCCTTTTGTGGACCCTTCCTCGCACGGGTTTGCCTCCAAGCCTCCAAGGGTTTTGGTCGAAGGACTGTCGGGACAATTGCGTCCCTGGCAGGCCGGGCAGATCGAACGCAGTCGGAGCGAGCTGCCTCCACTGTGTCCCCTCGGTGGGCAAGCAGGAAGAGACACAAAAGCATGTTTGCATTCAAACCCCCGTTTCCAGCCACGGCTCTCCCACTATTTTGGGGGGAGGTCGAGGCTCAGGCTAATTGCACTGGGCCTCTTCTGGAGCTTCCGGCACTGAATGCCAATGGGGTGCTGGCAGCCAAGCCTCCGATCTCGAGGCAGGGCTTTCAGGGCAGGGCACACGTTGACCCCCCCTACTTTCAGCCAGCTAGGGTTCGTCATGCGGTGACGGTACAACGGTAACGAATTTATCCTTGTGTCTGGTCTCCGCTGTGGGTTTTGACTCCTTTCTTACTGACCCACGGGCGTCCCCAGAGGGAACCGACCTT